CGGGAGGGGCATGCGGGGCCCCGTGTTTGGCTGCCGTGGGGGCCAGGAGTTGCTCCGGCAGAGCCGGTCTGCAGGCCCCAGCGCCGAGGTTGCGTCCGGGCCGGGGCGGGCCTGCTCCCCCAAGGCCTCCGTCCAAGGCTCAGCATGGTCCCCCGTGGGAGGCAGCATACCTCCCAGAGCCCCGTTCTCTGCCCAGTGACCGCCTGACGGCCGGCTCCACATGCAGGGGTGTGGGGAGTGTGTGGGCGCTGGTGGAGGAGGGAGGAGGGGCTGTGGCAGCCCTGAGTCTGGAGCTCACATCTCCAGGGATCCCCTCGGCGGGTGCCCCCCACCTGCCAGGTCCCTGTCGCCCAAGGGCTGGCTGCCCCCTGCTGAGTGGGACAGCCTTCGGCAGGCCGGGGTGGCGGTCCAGGAAGGCTTGCCCCAGGGCTGCCGGTGGCGGGCCGGGGTGTGGCCGCGTTGAGGGGGCTTCTGTGCCCTTCCTCAGCTTGCTGTAGGCTCGGTGCGGTGTCCAGGGACGCCTCCGCCCCGAGAGGGTGCGGCCTTGCGGTGGAGTCCACGGGCAGCCCTCTGTGGCCTGGGGAGCTCCGTGGAGGCGGCTGGCGGAGGGTGGCCTCGGGAGACGGGTGCTCCAGGAACCCGTGTTTACTTCTCTCTTGCTCCCTCCAGATGCGAGTCTCTGGGGACAAAAGGCGTCTTATTTTTACTTTTCTTTGAGTTGAAGTCTTGCTCTTGTCACCCAGGCTGGACTCACCGCCACCGCAGCCTCAGCCCGCTGGGCTCAGGCGATCCTTCCGCCTCAGCCTTCCAAGCCTCTTATTCTTCAGGGTGTCCCTAGAGCCTCTCTGGCAGCGGGCGGGGCAGTGGTGGGCCGGGAATTGTCCAGGCGTGAGGGTGTCAGTGGGCACTCTGTGCTGGGCCAGTGGGGGGGGTGGCGGGCCCAGCTTCCCGGGGTGCTGGCCGGCTGGGTGTTTGGGCCGCTTGGGGGCCGGGCCGGGCGGCGGAGGGTGGCCTGTGCTGCACAGGGGCCGGGGCCTGGTCTTCCGGGGCGGAGGGGCCTGGCCTCGGGGAGGCCGGTCGTGACGGGGGCCCCGCCCTGCAGCGGCCCTCCTGGGAAGGGCACGAGGCGCCGGAGTGAGGGGCCAGTCTGGCCTCGGGCTCTCTCATTGCTGCCTCTTGGCCTCGCCGCCTCTGTCTCGTTCTCCACTCCAGCCTCCCTCCCCGCCCCCCTCCCGGCTCTGGTCGCTCGGCTCACTCTTGCTCCCCTCCCGAGCCCTTGTCTCCGTCCTCTCCGCTTCTGCGCCTGTTCCCCGACTCTCCCTCCTGGCCCCGTGGTCTGCTCCCGGTGGGCCCGGCTCCGTCTCTGCCCTGACCGAGCCGCAGGTGGCCGGCGGTGTGAGGGCCGCTGCCGGGTGGGGCTGCTCTGTGTCTCTGGGGCGCAGCGCCACCTGAGCCCCCAGGGAGAGGCCGCGGCCCCCACGGGTCGCTCGCCGGGGGCGGAGTCGGGAAGAGCCCTCGCCCTTGGCCCTGGTCCCTGTGGCTGGAGGAGCGGGTTTCTCTCTGCTTGTTGCTTTTAATTAGAGCTTATCTGATTGGTGCTCAGAGGCTGAGAGAGCCTGTGGCCAAGTCCCCAGAGCCCGCAGGGGCCCAGGTCAGAGGCGCGTGGGGGGTGGCCCCAAGACCTGTGCCCTCCTCCTGCCTGGGCCGCCTCTGGGCCTCGGGCGCTCTCCGGGAAGGGAAGGCGAGTGCTCGACCTGGGGCCCGGCCTCCTTCCTGGGACGCGGGCTGGTCGGTGGACCGGGACCTCGTGCCCCGGCATAGGGGCTGCTGTCGGCGCCCCTGTGGGCCCCGGCAGCCTGGGGAGACGGGGTCCCAGCCCCCAGGCTGCAGGGCCCTCCGGAG